GCTTGAGGTAAACTGTTAAATGGGTAAAAACACACGCATCTGAGACTAATTGTTATGGCTTGTGTCTATGTCTCCCTAAAACTGCACGGTGTCAGAGGTGGGGCTTTTCAGGTTGGATCCAGGGTGTGCAATGCTGGGATTGTGTTGTGCTAGCATTAGGTATGTGATTACTAACTTAGTCCACTGATTAGTTTGGATAGTTCTAGATGTGGATAATCCCACCCAAAAGGGGGTAGTTTGGAAAGGATAAAAGTGAGATGCAGCCATCAACTGCTTAGTTGCTTGCTGTTTCTTTGCTGTCTTCTGCCCACCATGAACTGTTTCTCCTTTGTGATGCCCTACAGTCAGACAATTATGGACTGAAACCTCTACAAATTGTAAGCTACAATAAACCTCTCCTCTTTTTACTTTGGGTATCAAGTATTTTATCTCAGCAATGACAAAAGTGACTAAGATGCTTATTAAACCTTTGGAGCTAACTTCTAGTTTACACTTTTTTAAATGCAGTGAAAAGAGAAAACAATTAACATGAAAAGGAAACAAACCAATCTAAACTTCAGAATTTTCTAAAAGTATAACCATCTCCATTAAGAATGGAACTGACCTGTGCAGTAGAAGGAGAAGTAGAGCCTGAAAAAGATACAGCACTACCCTAGATAGGATTCTGTTCTAAACAAATCAACCCTTAAAAAACGTTTTTCAGGTAACTGGGGAAATTTTAATGTGGATTGGGTTTTTGATGACATTAACCAATCATTCAGTGCAACAGTCATGTAACTTCTGCAAGAAAATGAGTTTTAGAGATCGTATGGTAAGATTTGAGATGACATGTCAATGTCAAAGATCTACTTTAAAATACAATGGAAAAAATAAGTGTGAACATTGCTGGACCAAAATGATGAATGAGACTTATTCTATCAGTATAGAGTAAATGAAATCTGTAGTAAGAAATTTTAAATTATCATTCAAAAGTAACAGAAAAAACTCAAGTTTTGTTAATCATATGCATCACATGTAGGAAGGAAAGTAAAAATAAACTGAGCTTAATGGCTAATATTTTATCAACAGAATTATACAGATTTAAGTGACATGAATAGCTCAGTGACTATAATAATGTTTTTTGATAATACCACTAATAACTTTACTAAAAGGCTAAAATTTAGCATATAAAAAGTTGCAAACTTTTTTCTTTAGTAGTCATTTCCAAATCTCACTATACAGTAAAACCACCTTGGATTCATGAGCATGAAAAATTACTTCTAGCAAAATTTCTCTAAATAATACACCCCTTAATAAATTAATGACACTTAACATGACAAAGTGATCATTATAATGTCTCAATTTATAATCTCAAGATTTGACCACCTTGTTCTTTGAAACAAAATATGTGAATGATTAATAGTCTGCCAGATTTGTAATTATGTATTTAGATGTCAGATTCTAACTAATTACAAGGTGCTGTGTCTCCTTTCTCTAAATAAATTATATATTCTGAAACAATGGTCCCTAGAACTTTTAAGAAAGCAGCAGAAAAATCAAGAATGATAGTCTTAAAAAATTACTGTTCAAATAAAATTTGTAATACTGATTCTAAAGTAATGAATTTCAATCAAATGGCTAGTTAATAAAAAGATAAAATGAACCCCTCTCCTAATATTGAGAGTAATATTTTATATTTATTTTTAAAAAAATATTTGAAATAAAGGGGTGTAGTATCAATTATTTCATTCTGAACATCTACTGTTTGAGAAAGACTGAGTAAAAAATGAATGCTATCAATAGTAGATTGGTTGTACTTTGAAATCACCTAATTTGCTTCTAATTTCAATTAGAAGGAAAAAAAAAAGATTTAGTTTTTATTTCAAAAGACATGACTTCACAAATACAATACTGGATATCTCTGTAAAGGGTGTTTGAAGTCTTTGTTTAAAAGCAAAACATTAGTTACTCAAAAACAGTAAGCACCAGATATGTAAAATAAAAATTCATGCCTTACAATTGGATAGTTTTAAAGGAATTAAATTTGAGGAGAGGAATCACTTAAAAATACTTTTCTGAAAGCTAAAATGAATAAAGCTAAAGGCTCAGCTCATACCAAATATGAACATAAATCTTTTAAAAGCATTACACAATCCATTAAAAGAATCTACACAACCAATTCAGAATATGTAAATATCAAACAAGCTTTCAAAAACTGCAAAGTACCGCTTAACAGAAATTAACACTTTCCTATCAACTTACAATCCTATGAAAATAGGACAATTCATACACCATTTATGTTACTTTAAATTAATACAATCTTTCTAGGATAAAGATGGCACTATCAATAGTCTCACGTTTTCTTTGATTCAAAATTTCTAGTTCCAACAATCTAGTCTAAGGAAATAATTTGGGACACAAGAGTGTACAGGATATTTAATTAAAAGTATGTGAGACTAAATATCTACATTCCAATATATATACATTAATATTTTTTTAAAAAAACTCTAAGTAAAAGACAACTGCTGTTCAACATAATAAAACTACAAACACAGTATGTTTTAAACTTTGTACAAAAAGTATATATAGGAAATAAAGAATTTATCAAATATATGACTGCCTATCAAAACTAGACTATTTTTTAAAAATTATTTTATTTAAATTATGGTGCTACGGATTGAATCAGAACCATAGGCATGCTAGGCAATCCAATTCAATTTTCAAGTTACAGCTCACTTATTTTCAAAACCACATGAGGATGCTTAAAAAAGCTAGTTGTAACAATATGTAGAACAATTTAAAACATGTAAAAGGTAAAATTATTTAGAAAACAAATATGAATTCATATTTTCAAAAGTATTTTCCTTTTTCTTAACAGGAAGAAATGCAGACATAAAATACATTAAAAAGTTTAACACAGAGTTGGAAGAACCTATAGATAAACTTATTAAGAACCAAGAAAGGGCTGAAGGCTTGCTCAGCTCAGGGTCTCAGAGACTGCCTAGCATTCTCAAGTCCTTGGCTTCTAACTAAAGCACATGCAAAAACAGAACAAAAACTGAGCAACATACAAGCTTTTAATGGAAAATGTAATACACTGGAAAAAAAAATAAAAGCACAGCTAGGGCTTCATAATCTTTTATGAACATTTTATTACTACATCTGTAAAAGTTTCACCAAAGCCTTAAGATCACAATAAAAAATAGTGATGAATTCCCTAGAGGAATTCTAAACATGCCTCTGCAAGGACTCAAACACATCCAAGTATAAACAGATGCGCAAAGACACACAACTGCCTAGGGTCAAAGGAAGTAATTACAAAGGTCCACTGTTAGATGCCTGATAGTTTCTTTGGTATTTTATTCTTAAATTGTTTTTTTTAATGAACTGAAAATTAAGTTTTAAACTTCTGAGTAACTATAAAATCTTTAGCACTGTCATCTACTTGATTTGGTTATTTAAAAGATTCAATGATGTATCCGCCAAGTGCTTAGGCGAATGCCAAAGACCTAGAAACTATTCACTGTTACTCTTTTCTGTAATACACTAATCTATGGGAAGAATTAAAAGCCAAATTAATGCAACGTTATTCTTTCAGTTTTAACCTTGCCTTAAAAATCTGTACACTATAAAACAATCAATGTTACTAATTTGCAAGCTGAATTGAGGGAATTAAAATTTCAACTATAGACTAACATATTCTGTCAGAAAAATGTATTAGCAACTTAAAGTATCTATTACAGCAAGAACAGCTATGACTGATGCCAAATATACTAGAAAATTAGAAAAAAATGATGGTTTTGTTTGAAGTAATTACAGTGGTACCTCAGTTTATGAACTCAATTCTCTCCATGATTCTGGTCACAAACTGAAATGGATGAAAATCAAATCAAATTTCCTCATGAGGTCAACACTGAACCGTTACAACAACTGAATTCCATTCAGTTCTCATCCAATCCAGTCAGCAACCAGAAGTGTGGAATCAAGTTTATGAAAGGAGGCATTACTATAATTTCAAATACCAACTGCTCTTGTACAGTTGTGTTTCATATATGTGTGTGTGTGTGTGTGTGTATACATGGTTCCAATACTTACAAGTGAATAGCATGATTGTTAAATATTCAAAGAAAGTATTTCCAAAAATTACTGCATTATAATACTTTTTTTAAAAAAAATGATGGACATAAAAACTTAGAAGAACTAGTTTGTCAATCATCAATCGGATTGTATATGGACAGAAACTTTGATTTAAAGAAAATCTTACACTACCAATATCAGTAAACAAGAAATAATTTTTCAAATACATCAAATAAAAGGAGCCTATAAAATTCCACCTGACCTTGTAAATCCCTGTTTATTTTACTTATAAAATACCATTTTCCCTTATATTTTTTTCATCTTTCCTCTATCAACTATCAATTGTATATTTTTACATTGTATTTTTATTAGGTTCAACTCCACCATAGGACAAGGTAAAATATAAATAAGATAATATGCAAATAGCAAAAATAAATTTTACAGAAAATTTCTTCTAACTTAAATACTTAAAAGAGGGTACTATGTAGGCTTTAAAAAAACATACTTAACTCCCATTACCTGTTTTGTCTATTAACATTTCCCTGTCTTTATGCAGTGCTAAATTAAAGCAATCAGTTTAACCCTAACAAAAAGGCACAGACTTAGGACAAATAGGACCAGACTTAGATATGACAACAAATCTGAAATGAAAACATTTTACTAAAAACTCAAGTCTTTTTCACTACAGCTTTTCTTTTGTTTTTGGATAGTGGTATATGATAGAAGGTGAAGCAGTAAAAAGAACAAAATTAGTTACAATGAAGAACACTCTTGATTTTTAATAGCATCTGTGTGCTTTTTCACTTAAGAAGAACAAAACTCATGAAATTGAAAACAATTTAAGGTCCCAATTGAAGGATTCATCATACTTACTAAAGTTAAACAAGCGCTTTTCCATTTAGTAAAAATGGGAGAAAAGTGGTATTAGACAATAAAAATCATACCTAAAAGGGATGTCTCCTTGGCAAATGCTGCAGCAATAGCTGGGTCCAATGCAGGTTGTCCATCTCCAGATGGGAGATCAGGTCGAGTATAATCCCTACTCTTATCATTGTTGTATTTTACATTCAAATTCACAAGTTTGGAAAAATCAATCCTTAGAGTACAGCAAGCATTATAAATATTCTGACCATCTAGAGCCTGTAAAAGTGAACGAAGTGTATTAGCAATCTTAAGGCATAAGAATTAGCAAAAAATGGGAAAAGGTTTCAAATTCATACATCATATTGTACTGTTCCTGCTATAAATGGATTAGTTTCCACTAAATACAATCTTCTTTAAAGAGAAAATGTTACTTAACTCTTTAAAATTTTAATAATTCATGCTAATACTTTTAATTAAAAAAATACAAACGTGTAATTTTAAAAAAACTTATAAGGGGCACAAAAACAGCCCTTCGACCAAAGCTAGTATTTACTAATTTGCACAAAAAAGTTAACTCTCTTATTAATATGCTGGATGACAGTACTGATATGAATTGACAGCTTTATAAGGTATCTGCTGTTGCTTGTCACGTTGTATGAAGTTGTCTCAGACCAAAATAATGGCAATTCCCACGAAGACTGGAGACTGGATAAAAAAGAAACATTTTTTAAAATAAAATGGAGTACTACTCAGCCATAAAAAATGAGAAACTAGAGAGATTTATAGCTAAGTGGATGCACATCGAGGCCATAGTCTTAAGTGAAATTAATAAGTCACACATGTAAATACCACATAGTTTCTCTGATGTGAAAAGTTAAAAGTATAAATAAGGATCAAATGTATAATTGATATTGTGTAAAAGGAAAAAAAAGTTTAAAAGAGTAGAGGAAGTGGGAGGGGTAGGGGAAAGGAAAAAAGGGAAAAGAAAAAATATATGAAAGGAAATACATGGAAACAATGTGTTTGTAAACAGGGAAGGATGGAGGGGCAGAAGGGAGGGCTGGCTGGGGAATGGGGAAAAATAAGAACCAAGATAAGTCATTTAAAGGTACAAGGTCTCAATGATGAATGTAACTGTAACTGTACTGTATACCTAAAATGTACCAACAAACTTAATAAAGATTAAAAACAAAGAGATGAAATGTTCAGCCTGAATCAGAATACCTTCATAAAATTAGCAAACTCAACTCCAGGAAATTTCTGGAATAGAATATCAGGCATAGAGCGAAATGCTTAAGATTAGTTAGGTCATTCTAAGGAAGTTATATAACTCTTTAATACTCAATTCCTTAATCTGGGAAACAAATAATGGCCACTATGTACAAGGTTATTATAAGGATTAAATAAAGGACAGCATCTGTGAAATTACATCATAAATTCTGAAAAACTATGCTGCTGTTATGGTTATCATATTTTTCTGCCGCTGTATCATCATTAGTCCATCTGGATATAAGCTAGGATGAAACTACAAAATAGGGAAATACAAGGTTAAATTTTCATTAGAAAAATAAACATGTCCTTTTATGGAAAAAATAAAACTTTCTAGTTATATAAGTATACAAAGCTTATAATTCAAATAGTCTCACTCTCTGGAAAAATATTTCTCTTTCCTTAATATAAATTTTTTGACTATACTTACCAAGCTGAAAAACTAACCTAAAAATAACTCAAAAGAAGTTTACCCATTATAATACAGTGTTTGTAAAAACTCACAGAACTTCATAAACATCAAGATCTAAATTATATTTGGGTTAACAAGATACTTATCATCACACAAAAGTATAAGCTAAGTATCAATTTTATCTGCCTGTATAATATAAACCAGTAATGGTGAAGCTTTACAGTGTTCAATTATATAAAAAGCCCATGGTGGCCTATGTGCCACAGGTTCACCACCACTGGTATAAATTAATCCAATACCTGGTTATAAAGGCAAATAAAACACTGAAAATAGGCATCCACTTACTCATGCAACATCCCTATAGGGAAAACGTGAGTCAAGAAACAAACCATTTCAACACACTATGTCAAAAGATGAAAGGCAAAATTTACTTTAATTATTTTAATTTTTTTTCAATTGTAAATGTTTGTAGTACAGGATTACAATCCCCATGGGGAGTTGGTACATATACATAATACATCTTCATTCTCTTTTTTACCCAACCCAGTTCCATTTCTTGGTGCCCTTCCCATGAACAACCTTTTATTTTATTACATTTTGGGTAACATCAAAAAGAAAGTGATATTTTGTAACAAAAAAAAGAGACACGGCTTTGAAAAATACTACCAAGGTTAATGCTAAAAGTATTGAAAGGAAACTACTAACTCCTTGAAAAATAAAGTATTTTCTAAGCTGAGTTATTTCCAAACAAATACTCAAGACTGTCAAATTATCTACAATGAATTTGCCAACCAATAGAAAGCCCTATAGAGACATTTGCCATTTTCCTTTTTAACTTTTAGAAAAACAGCTTCATGTAAATTGAAGATATATAATTATACCTAAGGAACAAGAGCTGGAGCAATGAACAAACAAGATACATATTAAAACAGTTTAACAACAGAGATCACAAAAAATAAGAGCTAAATATACATGAAAACAGAAATCTGGGCACTTTCAGTAGTTGGCTGAAGTAAAATGACTATAAGTAAAGGAGGGATAAAAATAAAATTAAATTCACGTATCTTCACAATCCCAGGAGATAAGAGTAGCACACAAACTGTGGTTTGGCAATCAGGAATGCAGTGATCCTACTGAAGCAAATATTTCTGATAATAAAAGCTCCAGATAATTTGCACCAAAGACCTTTTGAATGCGCTTATTTGATAGCAAGCAAAATCAATCAGAAAAAAAATTTCAATAGTAACTTAAAATTTATGGCTAAAACATGATCATCAAAAAAGAGGAAGTGGAAGGGGTAGGGGAAAGGAACAAATATGAGAAAAGGAAAAAACGGAAACAAAGTCTTTGTAAATAGGGAGGAAAGGAGGGGTTGAAGGCAGGGCAGGGGAATGGGGAAAAAAATAAGAACCAAGATATATCACGGAAAGCTACAAATTTCCAATGATGAATATCATCATATTGCATACCTAAAATGTACCAATAAACTTAATAAATTAAAAAAATGCAGGAGTGTTTAAACACAAAATGCACAATTAAGCCAGCAATATGAAATTTCTTATATAGATTAAAGAGATTATAAGTCATGATAATATTTCTATTTTTATATCAACATTTACTATTTCTTTCTATGACTTACTTTTTTGAAGAGATGGTTGGGGATCTGATTTAACAGGTGTGCAGAGAAACCTGAAAGCTCCAAATTCTTTAAATATCTTACTATCTAATTTTTAGCAAGTCAGGAAAATACATCAAAACTAAGAACATAAATTAGGTTTAAAACACTAATAAAATACTTTAGAAATTATTTACCAACATAAAACTTCACGTTAGTAGATTATGCAGGATTTTTGTAAAACATTCTAACATCACCGATTTTATCATAAAGCCTCTATTCATATTAATGTGGAATATAAAAATGAATGTTAAAAGGTAAGGAGAATTAAGCAGATCTCAAAGACAGAGTTTGTACAAGAAAGTAGTAAATGGTGACCGCACTATATCTCTAAAATATTCTCCATAAAGTAGTTAAGTAGGCTGTAAGAAAGAATATATGACAAGATCTTACTGCTGCAAAATATTTATTTTACCTCACCTTTACTTACTATATAAATTCTAAAAGAAATAAAAAATAATCCACATATACACTAAATTATAATGACCATATATACCCAATTCTAAACACACTATCAGTAACCTGTGTCTATCACAGATATTCCTAACAGGAGGTAATGTTCATGAAATGCTGTTTCTAATAATAAAAACAGAAAAAGTGTCATTTCCAACATATAAACATATATAAATTTAGCTGTATTAAGCAACTTTCAACTGGGTATAGTGGCGATTGCCTGTAATCCCGGCACTCTTGGAGGGTGACACAAGAGGATCTCCAATTCCAAACCAACATGGGCAACTCAAGACTATGTCTAAAAATTAAAAATTTTAAAAAGGCTGTGTGTATTCAGTACCAAGGCCCTATTTCAATCCCCGGTACCACACACACATCAAGAACAAAAACAAAAAACACCCTAAAACAAACAAAAAAAGTCTTTTAAAGGTCCAGTGAATGATTATGTCTTACTACTAAGAATAAGTGGATACTTCTATGTAACTATTTTTTTTTCTGAAAAATATAAAAGATGTATTAGAAAGCCAAAGGAAAACATCTTTATGCGCCTGAAATACTGTATGCCAACAAATATCAACAAGATTGTCTAAAAGGTACTGGGGTGTTTTCTCTCATAAACATGAGAATCATTTACTTTTTGATAATCAGAACTGTTACTAATACTTCTGATTATCACCCTAAATGTCAATACTCAAAAACTGCAGCAAAGAACAAAGCAGACATGGTATTCATTCTCATGTGACTTACAGTCTAGAAAATACAGACACTTAACAAATAATCACAAAGATTTTAATCTACTTGAAAGGAAAAGGAAGATCTCTGAAAAGAGACTTCTAAACTGATATTTAAAAGAAGATAACCAGAAATATGATGTAAGGAGATAAACAGAAAACCCAGTATTAACAAATGGCACAGCAAGCTGGAAGCTGGAGAGATCTATAAGTCCAATACAGCTAGAGATAGTTTCCTAAGCCATATTAATGACCAGAGGACTTTATTTGAAAAACAAAAGTCAGTCACTGAGTTGAGAATAAAAATAATGTTGCTTTAAACTGAGATCATTTTTATTAATTTGTGGATAATAAGGAAAGGGAAGATGTCAGAGTGGGGAGTTTAGTCAGAAGACCAATGAAGTACAGATTTGCTTAAAACAGTTGTTCATGGAACAGCCGCTGCTTGGGTCACTGTGCATGAAGGTAAGACCCTTGTGTCAGAATTTGTATCTGTATCAAGACTGACATATTGTAGTTAGAAATATACTGATTTGTAGTTTGGCACAACCACTTTAAAGTCTCAAAGGTCAGTATTTTTTAACAATACCTGTTCAGGATGGCAGCAAGAGAGATGGAGTCAAAAAGGACATATTCCACAGCAACTTAGGAGTTAGAATGGATATCTGATACAAGAAATAATAATTTCATGTTGTCTGGCTTGCCAATGAGATTGACACTGTTACCGTGCAGAGACCCACAAGAAAAAGCAGAACAGAAGCTGAAATAAACCTAAGTTTGAAGGTGTCCAATATTCTACAGTACTCCTGGTCTGGGTCTGAGCTATAAAAAGTGGTAAGAACACTAAGTATAACTGAACTGTGGCAGTAAATGAGGTTTCCCAGGCAGTAGGGGAGGAATGTGTGGCAAGGAAGAAACCGTCAAAGCAGGATAAATCTAGGTAAGAAAAGTCAAGATATAAAATGAGAATATTTTAGAAAGCATTTCACAGTGCCAAATGACATCTACATGCTAAGTAAGGTTAAGACTAAATAATAGTATTGGCATTTAATTATCCATCACTTGTGAGAGTTTGAAGAATAATCTGCGTAAATAGGGTTGAAATTAAATTACAGATGATAAATAAGCAAGCTCTAAAAGATATAAAAAATAAAAATACCTTAATTAAGAAATCAAGTTATATATTTTAAAAGGCAAAGCAGAGGTAGGGTGAGAGATAGGAAGTACGCAGTTATAAGTAAGAGTTGAGACACCTGAGGCTTGAGCACATTTGTAGTAATAAAGAGAAGCAGTGAAAATAAGAAAATAAATAAAAGTAGAGATGACTGTGTCGCTCTCAGAAAGCAGCAGAGGATTGGAACTGCTGTTTACTGTTCTTAGATTTTAAAAAAATCTGTGACTTTATTGTTAAGAGGAAAAGGACTTGGATAATAGGCTTTGCAAGAAAATCTAATGAAGAGTCAATCTGATATTTTCCTGCAATTAATCAAGAATGAAGAAAGATGGCAGAAAGGGAAATTTCTGATACAGTCACTGTGAAAAGCAGAATACACAACTGAAAAAACTGTGAAGAAATCTTTCAAGTAGAGGAGGCTACTTGTAGGCAATACTCATGAATTTAAAACTGTTACCTATCAAAACCATGTGATAATCTCTAAGTACAGCACAGTGACATGAAGAATGCAGATTAGACTCATCAAAAGTTCTACCAAGAAGTCTAGATTACAAGATAATGGAAGAGCAAGTCTGGGAAGTAGTAAGTGAAATAATGTGCTCCACTACTAGAAAATATATATATATCTATCAATTATCTATTCTTTTAGAATTTAATTTTACATCTTTGCTGAGAGGATCTGAATGAGTGACAACTGCATATTAAACATTCATGAACACTCATAGCTTGATGCTCATTATCAGTACACAGGCTGATAAAATGAAATTCTCAAGTATATAGTGTGACTCAGGTACTTTTATTTTATGAGATTAAATATACCTAGAAATTGTTTCAGGTGAGATGTATACATAAGCTATTCTCTATGTAAAAATTAGCCCCAATGCAGTATAACTTCTAATCAAATTCCATTTCATTGGTCCTTTACCAAGTCCTTTCCTTTTGGAGAAGAGTAAAGAAAATACTGCACATTAAGAAAAATGTGTACCATTTTAAAATACATTTGAAGCTGTGAAAAATGTCATACAAACCATGATTTCTAGATAGTTCATAATGATAAAACCTCATACCACATTAATTTTTGGCAACTTGATAAAGTTTGTATTTCCAAAGCTGGGAAGGCCAAGAAATGTGAAGAATATTTTCAGAGAGTAAAAAAGGAATTCCATACTGGAAAAGTAACACACAATGAGGTATCACCTGAGAAACAGTAAAGAGCAATACACTACAAAAAAAGACTCCATGAAAAGCAAGCTGAAAAAATGTCTATCTCACAGACCATGCACTGTAAGTAATTTACCTCTAAATCTTGGCAATCTTTTTAACAAAGAGAGAAAAAAACCTGCTGTTTATAAAACAGTACTGGTCAAGAAATAGAAAACTGATAAGGGTAACTAGTAATCTGTTAACAATTATGTCATTATAGCTAGTACAGCCTTTCTGCTACTTAAAGATTTCAGTAATCTCCAAATGAGATAGTGAGGAAAGAAATGCTATTAAGCAATAATGAAAAATGGTCTGCATTTCATAAGTAATCTTGATCTAGAGGGAGCACTAAAGTACTAGAAACCACGATTCGTTTGAGTTAAAAAAAAAGGAAAAACCAAGAGGTAGGACAAAGGTAAGTAAAAACAGCAGATTTAATGGTTTCATAATAATAATTTAGTACTGAATGTTTACTGCCTTAATAATGGAATATGATAAGATTATGGTACAAGAAGTAAGAGTGAAAACAGAATTAAGATATATTAACTTAGGCACTGGAAGACTTAGGAATTTTGAAACAAAGCTGTGGTATATAATTTTCAATGGCAGTCGTGACATGGGAAAATTTTTCTTCTTCTAAAAGCCTCTTAACTTCCATAAATAACCATGACAAAAAAATGTGAATGATATGAATAAAGAACAGTCTCAAACCTATTCAGAAAACACGCCTTAAAAAAAAAAAAGAATGTAAGGTACAGTTTTACACTAGAGCCTGTATCTATTGATATATTCAACCAAACTATCTCAAAAACAAATTACTTTGAAATTCCCACTGCAAACTATTTAAAAATCTTACACAGATATCCTGGGAGAATACTACCCAGCTATCTTCTCAAAAGCACAAAACTTCACAAATTAACAAAAATGTAACTAAGTCTATGGTACAGACAGCTACAGTTATGATTGTTCCGTTTGTTTTTTTGGTTTTTTTTTTTTTTTTTTTGGAACTGGGGATCAAACTCAGGACCTTGTGCTTGAGAGGCAGGTACAGTGCCACTGAGCTAAACCCCTGGCCAAGTCATCATTAGTCTTTAAAAAATGCACATTCCTTTTTCGTAACAATCACCGTTTCCAAAATTTAGCTCAGTGATGAATATCTACCATCTATGTTGATGTTCTTTCAGCTAAACTAATAAATTCTTTTGAAACACTGCAAACTCCTTAAAATTCCACTATCTTCTCAAAAGTACAAAACTCTGCACCAAAATTTAAAGTGTAAAATATAAGCTTATTACTAGCCATCATTCTTAAAAAGTATTATGACAATTAAAATGGTTTCCTGAAATTATATTAATGACATGTATTTCCACCATTTACAATGTTACATGATATTGCTAACTTACATTCAGGTTAAGTTACATCTTCATGAAAAAATATTACTATCTCAAAAGTCACTCTAGACTTACTAGTTTTGCTTGCTGAGCATTTACTGGATCACCATACTGGAGCAAAGCTTGAAACTGGTTATTTTTTGTAAATGTAATTATCTTCAATACAGCACCAAACTTAGAAAATATCTGTTAAAACATGAGATCAAAGCATTATTTACTGTATTATTATTTATTCAATTTATATGTGAGTATGCAAATTAAATTAAAACTTACTTGGTGAAGAACATCAAGTGTTACAGGGTAGTACATATTGTCAATAATTATTCTAAGTACTGGACTCTGGGCTGGAGTCACTGCACTCTCACTAACTGTGGTGCCACTAAGAGGAGTATTTGCTGTCTGGACAGCTGTCACAGCTTGAAGAACTGCTTGAGCACGCTGAAAATTAAAAAAGAAAAAGGTTGAAAAACACACTCATCACTTACAATTTGCTACATGTTATAATACTGTCAGTCTGTAATTCAAGTATTCTACTGATATTTTTTCAAAAAAGTGATCTAGGCTTTGGCCTGAATGTTGAAAGAGCAAAGAGAGGAAATTTGATTTATACTTGAAATAATAAGACATAGTCTGACAGATCTATGTAACTGAAAAAATGTTTTAAACAGAAACTTTTAGAGAATAAAACTGTAAACTACCACTATTAGTTATTATTATTCTCCACAAATAGGTAAATGGCAAATCTCAACAAGATATGGATTATCAAAAAAAAAAAAAAAAAAAAAAAAAAAACAAAAAACTACCAAAAAGGTTAAATTTCTGAGGAAATTTTCAAGCTATAATATGAAGGATATTTTGCACACATTTTATGGTATTTAACATACCAACAATTGTAAAATGCAGTGTTATTTTATATATTAAAATAAGATGTTGCCAATTAAACTATTATAAATGTAAGACACCTTGATTTCTGGTATCTGTAAAGGTGAAAATAATCATACACAATTGAAAGAATTTACAGTATTTTTAAGAATTTTGCCAGTCAAATGTTAAATGCTCCAAAAGATTGCCCTCATCATTATTGTGCTTTTCCTATTATGACAGATTCTCTGATAAATAACTTCTTTCTACCTCTTCTGGGGTCAGAATATAAATATGAGGGCAACTATATATATATATATGTAAATACAACAAGAACATATACCTTGACATTAGTTTATAGTTTGAACTATCTGTATTTGCAGATAAATAAGAATATATACATAGCACAATGACAAATGAAAGAAAAGAACAGAAAAGAATTAGGATACTTATGAGAATTTTAAAAAATGGTCATTTACTGAAATAAAGCCAGGGATCATGTAGCTGGACACTCAAAAATCTATATTTGCACTTAAACACATCTCATCATTTAACTAAATCTAACAGTTTGAGAACAATGTACAACAACTTAGTAGTACTACTGAAAATATAGTTGCAAACAAAATAGGTAAAAAAGATTTCTAGAGCAACATTTATCTACTTAAATGTCTGAAAATATTTAGGAGTTGCTTTGCAGTGAATTTGGACTCCATTATGGCCCAAGGTTGGCAGAAACTCTTCTAATTCCTCAAAGCTGAGCTGCACAACTCACTTGGCAAAGCAGCCTGGCAAAGCCTCATGTTGCATGGCTTTATGACCCTCAGCCCCCCTTAACAGCTAAGCCTGCCTTGTGCAGGGGCAGGATAGCACTAAAGGCAAGCAAACAGACCTCAGCCAAGGCATGGTTGTGTCCACCTGCTTAGGCCTCCACCTCAGATGTTTGGAAGTAAGGGATGGGGTGCAGTGCCCATCATACAGATTGTGGTAGCCAGCAGTTACGCTGGGCCTTGGGCAGCCTTCTTGGCTTATGCCATATCAGAAGCAGGACCCAGAGATCATAACACATCAGTTGAGTTTTCCATGATCCTTTCTATCTGATTTGGATTTTAGATTTGGGTACATATTTTCATCCACAATAACAATCACAAGAAAAACACTAACAAGCTACAGTTAGAAATTATGTCTCTAAGAGGCTAGGGATTTAGCTCAGTGGCTATATACCTGCCTCACAAGCACAAGATCCTGAGTTCGATCCCTGGTATTCCCCCAAATTTGTCTTTAATGTGTGCTTTCCCCTACTGACTTAGCAGCAGCAATATTAATTTTGAGTATCCTTCCAGAGTCACCATCTAAATATGAAGCATATATACACATATCTATTCCATACTTTGTTCACCGTATTACTGGCCTGCCAACCTAGATTTTAAATGAACTTCGTATCAAAATAATTATACACAAAGAAAACAAATTTTGTAAATCGAGCTCAATAAAATATCACAAATTGGACATCTCTATGAAATAATTGCTCTCCTATAAAAACATTATCAGTGCTCTAGGACCTATACTCATGTTTCCTCTTGGTTATATTAATGGAAATGTACACTCCCAATTATTAAATGGAATTTTGTCGTATGTGCTCTCCTTTGGTCTGGTTTCTTTCAATGAACTTTACTTTGTGATATACAGTACTGCTTTGCAGGTATGAATAGCTTGTGTATTCTTATTGCCATACAGCATTCCACTGAATGAATACACCACAATTTATTCAACTGCTGCAGAACACTTACATCATTCCCAGCTTCAGGATATGTGTATATTTTTCCAATTAGAAAACTATAAATGAAAGGACTAAGTTAAAGAACATGCATATGCTCAACTTTAGTAGGTATTTCTTTCAAATTCTGAGAAATTATTCAATTTATATTCCATTCACTCATGTATGAGAGTTAAGGCTTCCGTAAATTAACACCAACACACAGAAGCATAGGCAAATAGATGGCCATAATACAAAAAATATAAGTAGCCATCTCCAAGTGAGCTTTTATGAGAGTAATTTAGTTGGACTTGTGCACTTTAGAAAGATACATACTTGGCTATAGTAGGGTGAAAGAATTGAATAGAGAAAATAAGAAAGCAGGTTAGTAGAAGAGCTATCACAGTAATATACGAGCCAAAAAAATGGGTATTTCTAAGCAACACAAGTAGCACAGATAGAGAAAATGCGGTAGCTTGTTAGGAAGACTTAACTGAAAACAATATAATTGACAGTTACTATTTATGGATAAAATTCATTCACTAATTTGTCTCCTATGAAAATACAAAATACAATCAACTCAAACACTGGACAGGTAGTCATCTTTAGTTGAGAATAATATTATCAAATTCCTGAAATGGAGAAAATAAATGGAACTAAATGGAAAGACACAGTAAATACACAGCAAAGGGGCTGTATAAGCAGAAGTCACAGAAACAGATAAGGAACTGGCAAGTTCACAGAAAAGAGAGTGAAAAATAAAGGAATAACAAAGTATAGCTAATGAACAAACGCTAAACTCCCCTCCTCTTCCTTCTTTAGAAGACTGACAAACACTTTCACCATAAAAAACAAGCAAACACAAATCCCACCCTTAAAACAAGTTCTAAAGGGTTTTTTTTTGGGAGGGGCTCAGAATAAATGTAAATAAATTTATCTTTGGCACTGTCTGGGAGGATACCAGATTAGCATCCAACTTCACAATACTCTAGAAGAATCCATCACTGTACATTCTGACCTGTGAATAGACAGCTTGTATGGGGGGCAGGGAGGGAAGTGAAAACAAGATACACACAAAAGTTAATAGTGAGAAAAATAGATAATTTAAGAGTACTTTGCGGTAGTTTTAAAATACTATACTTAGAATCCTCAAAGAACTATAAAATCATAAGACATGAGCAACTATAATGCAAAAAGGATGATTAAAGAATACTGAATGGCATATGAAAATTAAATATCTGACTTCAAAAAAACCTTTTTGCAACAGAGGAAATTTGCACAGATTGTTTTATCTGTGGCTTATTTCTTAACCACTTTAAAGTTATTATTCTAATGTTACTTCTCAACGGCTTCCACTGGTAATCCCGATTTAAAATTAAAAGTTCCAGGGGCCAGGGATTTATCTCGGTGGCACCACACCTGCCTCACAAGTGCAAGGTCCTGAGTTTGAGCCCCAGAACCCAATAAATAAATAAACAAACAAGTTCTCTCCCACACACATCTCCTTATAGACTCCCTATTTTTATTTTTTACATTACTTTCTTTTGAATCTAAAATGAGAATGTGGAGCTGGTGATTCAGCTCAGTGATAATAGCACTTGCCTTGTATGTGTGAGACCCTAAGTTTGATCCCCACTACCACTAAAACAGAATAAAATGAGAATGTATTCATGAATTAGTAAAAAATACTAATAAATACAATCAGGATATAAAATGTCATTTTAAGAGACTATAGTAAGCGAAATGAATCAGGCACAAAGAAAGTTAAATACCACATAATCTGCCTTAAATGTACTCTAAAAAAACAGAACTCATAAAACTAGTGAGGACTGTGGCTATGGGAGTAGGAAGTAGGAGATGGGAGAGGTGTCCAAAGAGAACAAGCTTTCAGTTATAAAGTACAGCTTTCTGTGATCTACCACACAACAGGGAAATTACAGTTAAAATAATGTATCATATATTTCAAAACAGCTAAAACAAGAGATTTTAACACATTCCATTCTTGCTAGCTTGAAATACTGGTGGTACACTGCTGACTGTTTCATCTGGCCTCTTGTACCACTGGTAATTCCAGCTGGAAGGAATGAAATATGTTCGTATCACAGCTGCTCAGCAGCCAGACAATTAGGGCCCATCATGAATGTGTTACATGTTCTCACCACAAAGAAATGCATGGTAGATACAGTAATGGTACAGTAAATGGCAGATGTGATATAGTAAGTAGTCTGATACTATAATGTAGAAGTGTATCAAAACATCACCTACCCATAAATGTATACATTATTTATCAAAGGAAAAAACAGTGAATAAACATTTCTTTTGGTATATTTCATGACAATTTTTTTTTTTTCCTGAGACAGGGTCTTGCTATGTAGTTCAGACAGTCTTTAAACTCACTAGGTACTCCTCCAGGCTGGCTTCAAACTCAAGTGATTCTTCTGCCTCAGTCTCCCATGTGCTGGTACTACAAACTTCTACCACCACATCCAGCACTTCATGATAAATTCTTAAAAGTACATTTTCTTGTTCAAAAGAATTGAAGTGTATTATCAAATTCAACCACAAAGACAGCTGAAATGTTAATCCCATCTTTAAGACAAAAAGTTTTCCAACTATATATTTCATAAACAATCATTTCAGATCACCTTTTCCTTAAAAAAGTAATGAAAACCTGATTATTTCCGTTAAATTTCCATTAAAAAAATAATCAGATGCTGTCTACGTTTCACTGAAACCAACAGATACAATTAGCTTAAAAAGTATTTTAAGAAAAGTTTTAGAGCATACAAAAATCTTAAATTCTAAAACATGCTTATATTATTTTAATACATTATATTTAAATAATATCTTTTATATAACATGTTTAAAACATCAATACATTTATATACTCTTCTTAAGATTTCTTCTCCTTGGGAAAATCATTAACGCATCCTCAAAAGGAATTTTTTTCAAAAGAAATTAAGACCTATAAAGTGTTAACAGCAGTGCATTTTACAATCTGAAGTTTAAGCAGCAAAGTTGTGCAATTTATGCAATAAGTTCTACTCCTATAAAGTTTCTACATACAAATTTTAACCTGTACCAAGAAAAAAAAAAAATAAAAAAAACTTCTGACCAGGGCTTTAAAAAAATTTTTAAATTAATTCATCTAGTATTATTTTAGAACATGAAAATAATAAACTGATTATAGTTTCAGTAAATGAAGGCAATATTTAATAGTACATAATACACAAAAATACCTTTTAAAAAAGAAAATGCCTATTGAGTGGTTAAAGTTTTTTTGTTACTATATTTACGAGACTCTTAATATGTTCTGTCTCTGTACTTATGTACCTATATGTACTCACTTGGTTTAATGTATTATCTGTCTTTAGTTCTTTGTGATTAGAGTACTGGATATAAATTGGTTGGTTACGAAGATGAGGTGTCACAGCAGAATAGTAATTAACCATAGTAATAGCAGCTTCCTCTGTTGCTAGTTCCAAAAATGCCTGAAATTTTAAACAGCAAATTTTAATACTATGCATTAAAATCAAACAAACAAACTACAAATTTTAACTATCTGTATAATCTATTTAGCTAGTTTTAAAAAATCAATTACCTAGAATATAAACTTCAAATTACATTTAAATGTTCTAATAAGTAGAATTAGAACTCTCTTACTGGAATTTAAGTAAACAATTAAAGCTAACTTAAGAACTTTGTGAACAACAGTGTGTATGCATTCCACCTGATTTTTCCATGCTCCACAAATATATTTCCCTCAACAAAAGCTAGAAAAAAATAAACATTTCCTAGCATCAAAATTTTACCATGACTACTCTACAGAATTTAAAAAAACAACAGAGAAAAAAATTTAAACATCAAACATCAGATTAACTACAACATTGTTAAATTTCATGTATTCTTTTAAATAGTATCAGAAATTGTAAAACAATATTTCATACTTAATATACCCATACTTTACTGGTATAGTTACACCTACTGAATAAAAGATATTCAGACTCAATGATTAATTTCTGCTACCAGATCATTATCTTCCTGAAATAAACTTAGTAAGATACTAATAATGCCGCTACTGACTGCTGATACCACAAACAACAGAGCCACCATAAAACACTTCATTTGTATTTTCCACTACTACTTTTCAAAAATCAGTAAAGTACTAAAGCGAATGCAAAAGATAAAATTTGAACTATGGCATCTCATTTGTTTTGGGAACTAGGATTAGTTTCTTACACTTACCTAGTAAGAAAATACTTCAAGTTTTTTCAGAAAATTAGTACTTTTATTACATTACAACTCATGCATGTGATTTTGGGTTTATCATTTCATAAGCCTTGAAAGAATAATACCTGGTTTTTTCCTTTCAGCATAAGGATGTTGGTCACCTTACCAAAAGGTAAGCCTAAAGCAATAACTTCAGTTTCTGTCACTTCACCAGGTAATTTTCGAATGTGAAGTACACGAGAAGGAGCACCATCCATTTTATCTTCTCCTTTAAATTTCTTGCTGTCATTACCATTGGCTGAAAGACATTTAAAAATACAGTTTTAGTTTCTCACTTCAGAGAAACTATTTGGTATTTATACATGTGTCCTATTTATTTCACTTAGGAGTTTGGTTGAGGAAAGTTTCTTAACAGTATTCTTAAATGCACAAAAGATACTGATATTGATAAAGTCTAAGTTGTATATTTTTGTCTGGCTAATTTTACATTAGGTCATATCTAAAACCACTGACTGAATCATGAATATTAACATTTTTATTATATTAAGAACACATTAGCGCAAGGACCCGAGTTCAATCCCCAGTACCAAGAAAAAAAAAAAGAACACATTAAGTCTTGTCACTTATGTAAGAGCTTCAAAACAAAGCTTAAAAATATAGTTGACTATATGTCAATTCCTAAAAATTCAAAACTAAGCTTTCAAAGTAATGGAGAATACCACTAATTATTAAGTAAAATTAAGTTAGTACTTAAAATTGCTGAGAAATAATATATTTATGAATAGTATATCCAAAGAGTAATAAATGATTAGCGAAAACATTATAATGCAATTTCATTAAAAACTATCCAATCACTAAATAATATAATTGCATTGCAAATTAATCATCTTTTCAGACTAATGGAAAGAGCAGATTTATCCTTATCCAAAGGGGATACATCCAAAGATCCAGAAATCATGGGCAGTACCAAATCTTACACGTTTTCTTTTCTTATACATATACATGATAAGGTTTAATTTATAACCTGAGGATAGTAAGAGGTTAATAAAAACTAATGATAAAACAGAACACTTAAATTAAAAATATTTTATTGCACTTTGAGAATACTGTTAAGTAAAATGAGGGTTACTTCAACACAAGCATTGCAATATCATGAGAGCCAATCTTGTAACTACTATGTGTATCAACTGGCAGGATTAGTTTATATAGAATCTACTGTGCAAGAGAAAGAGTATTAGCCCCAGCAAGATCTGGAATTTCCCATGAAATATTTTCAGCTGAGGTTTATGAAAGGTAAACGAAACTACAAAAAACCAAAATGATGCCTAAGGCAGGACTACTACATAGAATTTTCTGAAAAAATTGGGATGACAAATTAGAGAGATTAAGATTTTACCTGAGAGATTATAAACTATTCAATTTGGAAAACGTTGTCATGCTCTGATACTATAAAACATATGTGACCAATCCACACTATGGCTTATTTATAAATAAGTCTTAATTTGTTAGTATTACTACATAATCTACATATTTAAATATTTTGTAGCTATCAGTATCACGATACTCTAAATTACTCATTAACATACGTTACTCTGAGCCTTAAACAAATATATTTCAATCAACAAATCATTTGCTTTCATTTCAAAGCTGACCTAAAATAAAAATCTTATTAAGGATGTCTATAAAATAAGTAATCTTTTATACAGAACTGTTTAAAAGACACAATGCCAGGTCAATAGTAAGAATCTATACATGCAAGGATATTTTCAAAATGCTAAAATGAAGAACTGTTACACAACCAAGAAATACACATGTATACTTCATTTTATATAAAATTTTAAGTACTTGATGATACCCCCTGAAACTCTCAACATTCTCTATAAAATTCAATCTTTTAAATGTCTTCACCCATATATTGATTCTTTATTTATTGAGACTTGGGGATTTGTCTAGGGCTGTTTTAGGCTATGGAAATACAGAATTAAACATTATATGAGTCTGATGCCTGAGGCGCTACAGTGCAGTGGAAGACAACTACTATATGAACTTGATAATTTCTTGTTAAATTCTGTTAAGAAAGTAGAATGATGTGATTAAAAGTGATTTAGTAAAGGGCTTGAAGAGGGAGGTAGCAATGATTTTATTAGATTATCAGAGAAGATATACCTAAAAGATAATATGTAAACTCAATGGTAATTTATTTAAGCTATCATATCTTAAGATAAGTCATATCTTAAGAGTCAGTCATATTTAACTGAATGATCACAATATGTGTCTAATAATTCCCTTATGTTGACCTTGTTCAGCAAAACATTAAGCTGCAGCTTTTGAATTACCTTGACAATTTTGGTTAACTAGCTCTTCTACTCTCTAGAAGTTGAAAACAAACAACAAATATGATACAACCCTACAGGAAATTATCTAAAATGCTTTTCATTACTGAGGAAGACTTTACATAATAGATACCTAAACTTCCTATTTTATAATATCGTCTAACAAAAATCATCAAGTCTGTGTAAATTAAAGCAGATAATCTACAATATATACTCATATCTTTAAAAACATATAACTGGCATCTATAGACATATTTTAATGTAGGACTGATGTCTCCTCAGAAAAGCAGTTTTGAGTACAAGAAAACTGATAACTTATTACTCATTAGTTTGTCTGAATAACAAGGACAAATACATCATAATCAATGCCCCGTGAGTTACAATTTTAGGATATTCAATTCAGCAAATTTCAGTTTATCTTATTTTGGTTTGTCCTTTCCCTTCTAGGAGAAAGGCAAGGGGGAAAAACACCCCACAATAAAGACATTATCACTGTACCTATACTGAAAAAAGGTTCCCCCTTTCAAATGATTTTCAGAATATAAGCCCTCCAAAAAAACCTAAGCCTGACTATATCTATTTTAAGAGAATTTGTCTTAGATGTTAGATGCTTTCTGGACAGTAGATGGTGGGTAGCTAGTTAAATGCTCAAGGTCAGACAGCTAGTAAGTAAAGACAAGAGATAATAGAAATGGGATTAAAATTCATGGAATGAGTAGTCTGACTCCATCATCTCTGTTTTTCAATCCCTACTCTAAAGGCAGATCCCAAAGACCAACTTCACCTTTCATATAATGGCCTAGAGATCTTTCATTTTCTCCCAGACCAGCCACCTGCAGTTTAACCATCAAAATGTATGAGATCTTTCTTTTTTCCCCAAAGACCAAGCCAGCTATCAAGCAACCATCAAAATTTATATCCTCTCTTCACTCAGTTAAGAGTCTCAAGAGAGTAGCTACTAAGCATTTATCTTTAATGCTATGTAAATCTTCATTTTAAATAACTGGTACTATGAAAATGAGACATGGGGATTCTTTCAATCATACAGTGAAGTCCATTTTCACATATTAAAAATATGAATCTGAGAGGAAGGGGAGTGTAATGCTCAACTTACTGAATATCTGGGTTATTTATTACTCTAGAAGAGAAGGAAGTAGAATTAGGTCTATCTTAATGTTTCTTTCCCTTCATTTTGGTACAGAAACTTGTTTGTATATGTAAAACTAGTAATAATGCAAATGATTTTAGGACTTCATGCTGAATTAACAAGATATATAGTAAAGCTTTTACTTATGCATACCAGTTCCCTACACATAGCAAAAACATTTATACCATTTTCTATATATTAATCAGTCCTTTTAAAGCCCCAATTAAAGGATGTTTATCTACTTACAAATTAAAAACAAAATTTAAAAACTGTTTTTACTCAATCATTTGTTTTCCAAACTCAAAATTCAGTTTTCTGTCTCAATTCTAGAACCATCACCTTTAGCTCTGATAAGTTCATCACTTTTCACTTTCTGGGAGATCTTTATTCTTCACAGGTTTTTTGTGCAGTTTTTCACATAAATCGATCTAAGATCCTAAGTACTTTGTTAAATTATCATACCCATCAGTGATACAGAGCTATTATCCTCTTCTTTAATGAAGTTCTCTATTCTCATAACACTCCCAACAACTTCCACTCTTACACTCTCACTTCCTTGACTCAATATCTGGAATCTTCTATTTATTTCCAAACACTGTTAGAATTTCCTAAGCTATTCTGACCCCACGGTTCTTCCTATATTTACTTGATTCAGCACCTGCATTTCAACATTCACCTCATTTAATTTGTAAATCTCTTATTTTAGCCCCATTCATTTACCATTAAGGAGTATTTTCAATTGAATACAAACATGAAGTCAGATATTTCAAAACTTCATACACTTCATCTGTACTTTTTCTAATACAGCAATCCAAAGACACTAGCCACCACCACATATACCTCTAGGGTTGCACGTACTGAGTTTTGACGCATAGCAGTATTTTCATCCAGTGAGAAATATGCCCCCTTGCAACAGCCTGTGATTCCTTAATTGTTCAGAACGGTATATTTTAACTTCTAAATATCTGGTGGTTTCTTATATTTTTTACTTTTCTAATTTAATTCCACTATAATCATGGACTATGCAAGTTTTCAACCATTTCAGTTTGCTTATAATACAATACAGGCGACATCATGATAACCATCACATGTATACTTGAAAAGTTACTTTCCAGTTTCTGGGTGTAGTTTCCTAAATGTGAGTCAAGCCAAGATGACTAAGTGGTGTTCAAATTTTCTATTGTGTTCTTTTACTTGGAAAGAGGAGATCTGATTTTCCTATCGATTACTAGGAGGAATTTGAAAAATAACCAACTTTGTGGACTTCTGTTTCTCTCTTTAGTTACCATGTTTCTCTTCATGTACTTCAAAGCTGGGTTATTACTAGCATACAAATTAAGGATGTTAGTTGTTTAATGAACTGGCACTTTCAGCATTATGAAATGTTTTTATATCCAGTAATACCTCTTTGTCTTGACTGTTAGTTTCAGATTAAAATAATGACAATTTTCTTGTGCGATGTTTGCATGGTATAAAATTTTCCTTTTTCTTGTCTTTATATTTTAACCTAACTAAGGCAGAGACAGAATAGTTAGATCTTGCTTTTTTATCCAGTCTCAAATCTCTGCTTTTTAACTCAACTCTCTAGACAGTAATATCCAAAAAAAGTTAAAGCCACCTAATCTAGAACTTTTTTTCAGAATAATCACAGCAAAATTGAGGTTTTTCATATACATACTCCTTGACCGCACAAATGCATAGAGTCTCCCACATCATCAACATTTACCACCAGAGTGGTAAATTTATTGCAATTGATGATCTTATATTGACACATCAGAAGCACACAAAGCCCATTGTTTACATTAAGAGTTCACTACT